GTCTGTTGTGAAGTTTATTTTCGGTTTTTGTTCGTATAGAAGATTCAAAAAGCATTCAGATTATGATGACTCTTATTGGAAATAACAAAAACATCGTCAACGTTTCTTACTGTTTTTTGAGTCGATACATTTTCAAAATCCAAGAAATAAACGAAGCTAAATTAATAGAAGATTTGCTGAAGTTCATTTTTCAAATAATGAAAGGTTATAAACACAAAAAATAGTAAGAAATATTGACTCTTACACAAAAAAATCTTCTCAAGAAAATCGGCAATATATTTTCACCGAACAGTAGAAAATTCTGATTTCTTCCACAACAAATGACTTTTGCTCATTATCAGATGTTTTATTTGTTAGATGAACGGCAATTTTAAGTGATTTTAAAAAATAACTGACGAGATTTCATGATCCAACGATGATGAAACATCACATTCAAGTCTTTCACATTTTTCAGAAGTTGCTTTGTCAACTTATAATGTGATGTAATGATGGATTGTAGAATTTTTGTAGACTTGATTTCAATTCGAAACTATTTTGCGTTCATCAATTCTGAATATTTTCAACAAAATGATAGATTCTACAATACAGTTATCATACCAAGTTGAGCTCCGTTTCAACGTTAAATGAAACATATCCCCTATAAATCGTATTCAGGATACACAAATACCCCAGCTTATGAATTGAAAGGATTATTTGGTATCGAAAAAGTATAAGTTATGAGTACAATGTCACGATGCCGATATAGGGTAAAATTTTTATGCACACAAATTTCAGCAGCTGAAATGTTGACATTCAGAACCTCCTGAAATGATTCGACGTATATATAATCCCACATTCCTCATCCCATATGGATTGCAGCAAAGGTTATCAATGATTAATAGAACTGATGATAAACGATATTTCGACAGTTTTCTGGTTTTATGGAACTTTTGTTGCGTTGATCCAATGAATAACTTTGATAATATAGTTAGTTATGAATGCAAGTGAGGGACAAACTGCATAGAGAGATGAAAGGGTATATTTTCGAAAAAAACAGCGTGACTTCCAGGCCCAGGATATGAATATAATAAAAAAGGTGTTGTCGAGTGTTTATGACTAAGGTCATGATAGATAGGACGTGACAGTACACTAGAAAATGGAACACTTGGTTGTCAACTGCCTTCATGGTGATTTTAGGTGCATCCCAGTAATTATAGGTCTCCTAACTGGAACCACAAATGTGCGCTGGGCTCCTGTTGGTAATCCATCCGTTTGTACTGTTTTCCCGTTTTCGGCAACCAAGTGTTACCCATCTTTGCACTTGGCAACTCCACGTGTCCGCGGTTTGCCTCTCCATATCAAAAGGAGGTGAATTAGCGGATACAACAGTCGAAAACCTCGAGATGAATCACATAAATTATCTTTGGAAATCATTACCCACTGTGGACGCTTGAAAATTAAAGATTGGGATTGGGAGATTGGGACCCTTGCGAAAACCAGCGATGAAACCTAGGAAGAAGGCAGATTGAGACCCCGGCATTGAATCACAGTAGACAGTAGACATAAGCAGACAGATACAATACTCGGAAATAGGGCATACCCGCGTGTTGTGTCCGCTAATTCACCCATTTTTGATATATATCAGATACTCAGTTAACTAGTTTGATGATCCAATAATTTTTCTGAAGAAGGAGTTGGTTGGGTAACAGGATAAATTTTTTCTTAAAAAAACAATTGTATTCTTGCCGAATTCAATTAAATTCTTCTTCAGGGCTCGAAAAGTAGTTTTTTGTATCAAATACATTAGGTAAAATATTTCTGTGTATTTATAATATTTATATTTTGGACCCGGATGTCACGCAGGTAGCTATAGCTGCCTACGTGGTCGGGTTGGTTTTTGTGCCTATACATGATAGGTCTCCTGAACAGAAACACATGTTCGCGATTTTGCCCTATTGAGGTGGGGATGTCGAAAAGAATGTTACATTTAAACAATTGAAACATGTCATCATAATAAAACAAGTTGAGACCTACTGTTTTTGAGGTGGGCTGCATAAAAAATCATGTGAAATTTATAAAATTGAAGCAGGTCAGTTGGACAATTCACCAAGATAAAATAACTTATTGCCTCACCGAAGCATAACAATTACTTGTAAATTTGTCATCGAAACATTTCAACTTGCTTTATAAAATAACTGTGTGAAACCATGTGTGTTTGAATCTAAAGAGAGAAACAAGAAATATGGCAGTGACATCTGTCAAAAACAAGTTTCGCATGAAAACACAATTTGCCGATGATGAAAATATTGGAGCAAAGTTAGGTACACATCATAATGAACATACGTTACACTAGCCAACAAATAAGAAAACAAAATTGCGACTAATATTATAATGGCTATACATGAGAGTTTAAAGCATCCTGACAGCGACTTCAACATCAAAAATGTTCCATCACGTAAATTTTTGAGTTATTTCTATACGAGACGAACAATCTCACATATTATAGGGAGATCAAAACAAGAAAAAACAATATATTTTGAGGATAACAGACTTCATTTACAATAAACATGAAAAACATTCAAATGAAGTCTTTTGTGCATAACCTTTCTGCAAATGTTGACTTTCGTTTATGTTTCATCGTTTTCCCTTATAAAGCACTAACAATACTCTCCCATCATTGCTGCATCCCATCTGCCTTGGTAACGTTGCTCCATTGTCAGTATGTCTTGGTGGAACCTTTCCCCTTGTTCGTCACTGACAGCACCCAAATTTTCTGGGAAAAAATTCAACTGGGAGTGCAAGAAATGGATTTTAAGAGACATGCGACATCTCATTCTGCAGTAGTTTACAAGTAGTTCTTCTACAAGTGTTTCGTAATTTTCTACTTCCTTGTTCCCTAAAAACTGCGAAACAATTCTTTTGAAAGAACTCCACGCAGCTAAATTTTTTTATCAAACTATTGATCACTTAGTAGTTTTCTAATTTGTGGTCCAACAAATAGACATCACTTAATTTTGGAAAAACGTGTTTAAGATATTTAAACGCATCACCTTCTTTGTCTAATGCTTTTACAAAATTTTTCATTAACCCCAGTTCAATGTGTAATGGAGGTAACGAAACGTTTTTGGGATTTACAAGAGGTATATTCCTGACGTTAGCTTGACCTGGAATATATTTATCCCTCGGAGGCCATTCTTTTACTTGATAATGGCTCTGTGTTACCCTACTGTTCCGAGGAAAAGAAAACAGCAAAACTTCGCAAATCCGCCTTGAAGACCTGGTAATAGTCGTATGATTTTTAGGTCACCACATGTTTGCTACTTATACGTACATTATAACTTATTGTATTTAGAATAAGTGACATACTTTCGTGTGTTTCCTTCATGGCAACTGCATGTGCTAGAGGAAAAGAGGGTCTTTTGTTACCATTTGCTTCATTCCTAAATTTCCTCAATTTAGGAATTAAGCAAATTTGGAATGTCGTGTTTATTAAATTTTTGTGAAAAAATTATTACTCAAAAATCTTACGTGTTAGGAAATTTTTACTATAATTTTCGCATTTAGGGACCAAAAATTAACAAAGACATCACAGTCGTAAATTGGCTGTAAACTAGTGATTAGCAGATCAAGCTTATGAGGAAAAGAATCTAGACTCGCATTCATATGCTGACGATGAGAGTGTACGAGTGTTCACTTGTGATTTGCAGCAATGTTAACCAACACCATCTTCAACCTTATCAGTAGCTTTCTATAAACGGCAGCTATGGACCAGACCGCATTCTGCATTTATAAACACTTGTTAAACTAAACACCTGTAAATACGAGACATGTTCTACTATACTCAGATACTTGTGGAAAGCACAACCAAAACTCCCATTTTAGTTCAGTGTTCACTTGGTTATTACAAAAAACCGATATTGATACAATAGACCACAAGTTTATGATTCCAGGTCATAGCTATTTGGGAGTTGACACTGACAATTATATCATAAAAAAAGAAAAAACAGAATTAAAGAATAATCATCCACACGATTGGATGCAAGTAATAGAATCCAATAGAAAACAATTTGAAGGTGTTGAAATGAAATCTACCGATTTTTTTGAATTTCCTTTCTTTTTGAAGGACACTTTGATATTGAGGGCTAAGGACACTGATATGGCGAGGAGAATAAAAATTAGGATTAGCCCGACCGAAATCGCAGAATCGAATGCCTCGGTTCAAAAAATGTTTCTCAAGTCACTTTCGAAAATAATCGCCAGTGACAATATGGTCGGGGTCATAAAGTGGCGTCTGTCATTCTAAAATATCCATGAGTTTTTCGGCAATAAACTTCGGTTCCAGAGAAGAGAATATTTCAATGATTTGCCATGAAAAAATACAAAGATACTGAGTAAAAGTAAAAAGAAAGGATTTCACATAAAGAAACTCAAGCAGATGGATATTTTGTACGACTGCTCGATAATAGAGTTATGAGAAGTTAATTTCCTAAGAAGAATTTATAATACAAAAAATAAAAATCAATAAGGAAATGAAATGTTTCTAAAGTGAATAGTTGTAGGAAAAACCCTACATATTTTATAATTTGAAGTACCTAAATTTCAACTACCTGACTTTACATATTCAATCAATGTTTTATGTGTACTCGTAACTGAGTTTGTATCGAATGAAAAAGCCTGAAATTATATGTTTTTGATTCATTCAATTCTAAATATTTTATGTTACACATCGTATTTCTGCTGAACATTCTGTTAGAATGTTTGAAAATGAAAAGATTTAGGAATTCGGGATTTTCATCAAGGTTCGATCAATTCCATCATATATATTACAGAATTTAGCTTGAGAATTGACAAATTATCTATTCAAACTTCGAATCATACCACGTAATTTGATAAATGGAGAGAAATACGTATACATTTCCTGATCATGTTGGTGATTGTATGCTAATTTTAACTTACAAACCAGCTTACTATAACCGTGTTTCAGGAATTTAAAAAATAACAATACTGAGAATACTACTCACTTGCACAAACAAAAGGCAATTTCGAGGTTCCATGGAAAATCTGGTTTTCCGTAAAATGTCTGAAGGGCTTCCATGCAGGAGTTTCTGTTACAACGAGACATTTCGCAGTGGTGCAAAATAGGAGCGAGCAGCATTCTGCAGTGATAATGATTGTTGCAGCTCTGCATAGCAGTGTGGCAAGTGCTCTGGAACACCATTTTTTCCACTTCATTGAAATCTTCTGGACCTGGAAATGTCAAAAATGATCTTGAGAACATTTACTATAAATAGAAGGAATTGATTACAGAACCTTCTGGGTATGTGAATACTTTCTAAAAGAACTTAAAAGGTTTATTCGGTATTTATCAAAAATTATTTTGTTTATAGTAGTTCTGTATTTGAGTTTTCTGTTCGAATTTAAAAAAATAAAATATCAAGCGTATTGAGTATTGTTTCTGATGATAACGTGAGTATTCTACTGAATGATACAGTGCATTTCTTTAATGTCCCTCCCCCCTTTTATTTTTGAATGGGTTAACTTGAAAAATTGAAATTTGATATAATGAAATTGATGCATGAGTTCTTTATTTTGAAGTGAAATCGACAGATGAAACTTTCGAAATGACGACTGGGCGCCATCTGAAAAAAAAATAAATGAAAAGGAGGGTCTTGTGACACATCATTTCGAAGCTCCTGACGAATACTTCACAATTCTAGAATATGAAGTCACTATCTTCACCTACTACAAAATGGCGGAACATTTAATGATTTCCTGAAGACAAATACATTAATATCGATATTTCTAGAAATATTCCTTTTTATCTGCCATATGGCAATTCCAAAAACCTGATAAGGTTTATAAAAAGGACAAAAAATGTCAGTATGACAATGAACATCATTGTTCAGTCAGAATATTCTCATTCAGTTTTCGGTTTTACTAGTAGAATGGTCAATTCTCGTCCATTGGAAGAAAAAATTAAAGCAATTTTTATTTACGGTGCGACGCGTAATTTTCACGGGACCTGAAGCATTTTCGAAGAACGTTTTTCAAATCGTCCTATCTGTAGAAAATATTTGAGAGAACTTGTATCCAAATTCACAACTACCGGTAGTGTACATAACAAAAAGCCCCCAGGTCATCACTCCATTCCGGAAGAACAGCAAGTGCAAATAATTGGTAATATGGTAGTAAATCCTCAAAAGTCTACTTATTCCGTCGCGAATGTTTGTGAGGTGTCTCCTTCTACTGTGAGGAGACTTTTGAAGAGGAATAGGTATCATCCATACAAAATTAATATGATCATACAAAATTAATATGGAACACCAAATAACTGAAGATGACCCTGATCGAAGAACAGAATTCTGCGAAATCATGACGGAAACCATTGCAAGGCATACTACCTATCTCCACAATATTTGTTTTAGTGACGAATGTACATTTTTTTAACGGCAATGTTCACAGACAAAATTACCGTTATTGGAGTGATACCAACCCTCACGTTTTCCGGGAAACACATACCCAATATCTAGAAAAAATTAACGTTTGAGTAGGAATATTGGAAAACCATATTGTAGGACCTCTATTCATTTATCAAAATTCAACAGAGGAACTGTATTTGAATATGCTGGAAATTACTGTTGCCCTCTCATCACTGAAATCGTCGAAGCGAATCCTAATGAATTCAATATGACTGTTTATATGTCAAGAAGTTCAAGGTAATCATTTCGAGCATCTTCTGAACTGACCTCAAGCTTATTACCTCATATTATGTAGTTAAATGTCAATTTATTCAGGCAATTATTAAAAGTNTGCGTGAATAACGGTTTCATCAACACTCCATACTTCCACGTTTAAAGTCAAAATTTTTAAAAGTTAGAAATTATTGAAATAACCGACAACGATGTTGACATTTTTTTCACAATTGTGATGTTATTACTGTTTTTGCAACAAATATCTTCAGTAATTGACGCTAGGTACAATTTTTTCGGTGAGCAGATTTTCTAACTATTTTGTCAAAAAAATATCATTTTCAAAATAAGGATTTCTCCATGGAATACATCTCTAGTATCTTCATTTTATAGTGATTCAAATGATTAGTTGATAACTTATTTTTCTTCATATATCATATTTGGTGTTTCTCAACAAATCAAACCAAACCAAAACATTTTTTTCATAATCATCTTAACTGTTTACCAAGTTGAAGTTCAATTTAAAAAAGTATGACTAAAATTTAGTTTTTTCCAGAAAGTAATCGAAATTTGGACATAGCCATATGTAACAAAAAATATTAAAAAAATAAATCATCAATTAGTTGTTGACATGGGTTGTGGGGCAAATCGGCTGCTACGATGGATCAGCTGCGATAGCAATTTGTTTGAAAATATTGACGAACTTAAATTTTTTTATAGTTAGTTGAATAATGAAAATATGGTAATATATCTTCGAAGACTTTGTTTAGTGATGAAATACCTTGTGAATTATTTTTCAGTTATATCTATATGATATACGGAGTAATGAAAGCTTTTATATGAAAGTGCTGCTGATTTCATTTTGAAAATAAATAAAAAATTCAAAACTCTAAGCAACTTCAAAATCGATTTCTGCAACATTAGTGGCCTCAACTCAAATATAAACTCAGTGCATCAACATCTTCAAACAAATAGTCCTCATATTCTTGCACTCACAGAAACCAAAGTCAGTGCTTCGACAAACCTCGCCAATTTTCTATATTCCTGCTATGATTTCCACTCCCGATTCAGACGTAACTTCGAAATCAGAAGAGATATCTTCTGTCAACGAGAGGAAATGCTGTTACCCAAAAACTTTGATGTTATGTGGTTCAAAATCAAAATGCGTTTATCGACCACCTAGCGATACACAATATAGTACACTTTTCTCTCCACTTGCAAACACCATCGACTTTCTGCAAATCAATCATCTCTGTGCCAACATTTCCAAATATCAACGACGAATGAGGTCGCGAAACTGAGGATTTTGCAATAAGCAGCTGACTGACCGTGATGGAGAATATGTTAGTCTCCTGGATCTATACCTAATAACCAATCCAGAAATTTACAGTCACCGTAAGATCTCCATTTCCATCTTCTGACCAGTGTTAAGTGAATCACCAATGAATGTTGGGGAAAAATTTAACCCGCGCAAAGTTTGGCAAAGTTTGTGAGTGGAAGGATCTCAAGGTCATAGTCTAAATTTTCCCTGACTAGATGTTCGTTGCAGATCTAATGATCCATCAACTTGTGCATCTTGTGAAGTCACGGAAGTTATTCTATCATCCATGGATGCATATGTTCCTTTTACAATGAAATGCCTCCAAAAATTACGCCTGCTGGCGGTGGCGCCAAAAACCCAGTGCTGAAAACCGAACAAGGTTTGTTAATGCTCGCAACAGCTCCAAACTAAAAATAAATGAAAGCTTAAAACTCACAATCAGATAATAAGGAACAAACTGCTTGCCAATCCCAACGGTTCTAGATCCTTGTGATTGGTAGCTGAAGCTGTTGATTAGAACTTTACAAAATCCACAATTCCACTAATAACACAAGCGAATGGTTCAACAATAGCCATAGAAGAAGCATAGAAATGCAGGTTCTAACAGCTGGCGTCAATCGCGTGTAGAAAAGGAAAAGAAGGAAACGTGTAGGAAAAGAAGAGAAACGCCAGTGAAGATAAACCCCAAGGCACTGTCTATTTGCCATACATAGAAGGTGTCACGAATCAAATCGAGAAAATTTCAAAGAAGGAGAAAATTAACACCGCCTTCAAATCAACTAAGAAAATATCTGAGTATTACTGAAGTTTTTTCCCAAAACGAGTTTAATCCTCCTCTTGGAGATGATCACTTGGTGATCGAAACACGTATCGAGGTGTTAAAAATAACGATTTGGTGTTGGGAAAGAACTCCAGTAATATTCATTACTACACCAAAGGTTCCAAACAGTGCATCATAAGTAAATATCTGAGTATCTGAGATCAGCAGAAGACAGCAGAGATTCACTCAAAACGTCGGGAGTTTACAGGATCCCATGTAACTGTGGTAAAGTCTATATCGGTTAGAAGAAAAGAAGCATTGGTTCCCGCCTAGTTGAGCACAAGCGAAGTTGCCGATTGGGAAAACCCGAGAAGTCTACAGTCGCTGAACATGCACTGTCCAACGGAGAATACAAGATCCTGTTCGAAAATATCGAGAGGCTAGCAACTTCAAATCATTATTCAACAAGAATGCATTTAGAAGCCATTGAAATACACAAACACTAAAAGAACTTCAACAGAAAGGGAGAGAGAAAGTATCTACCAAAGATCTGGCACATAGCTTTGAAAAACGCCAAAGTGAAGCCAAGTCAACCAAATCGCTCGGAAAGTACTCGCGAAACCACCATTACAGAAAATGCGCGAAAAATAAGCACTATAAATGGCACGGCAAAAATGGGAGCTTCAGTTCCAGTTGACAAGTTAAGAAGAGTACTTCGACCACGTCACTGGAGATGACTGCCGCAGCTGCGGCAGAACATAGAAAAAGCAAATCCACTAGCTAAACAATTTGCACCCCACTCAACAGTCAATTTTCTGGAAAACTCACCACCCACTAATTCCACACTAGAATTTACAATTCCGGAAATTACTTTTTGACAACGTCTAGTCAGGCCAATTTTGAAAAAGCTCAATACCATTAAAGTTTCTGGTCCTGATGAAGTGTCCATGTTCTGAGAAAGGGTTTTTTTTCTTGTTGATATATTGCTCGCGTCCAGCCTATTTCCAAAAGGGGCAAGACAAATTTTCCAAATAACTATAGACTAGTCGCTTTGCTATAAATAATATCAAAAATTATGGAGAAAACAATAAACCACCTTGAATTTTTGGAAAGCTTTAACATCTTGAGCGATAATCAATATAGCTATCGGAAACAAAGATCAACAGGCGACCTTCTGCCGCATGTCACTCATATTTGGAATAATGCAATCGAGAAACATGGTGAGTCAAGAGCTGTTACGCTTGATATTCCTAATACCTTTGACCTTGTATGGCATGACGGTTTGCTGGCTAAACTTCGATGATATGGCTTGTGGGATCATGTTTGTGTATGACTCTTCAGCTTCCTGAAAGAACGGCCCCCGCAAGTAACTGTCGATTGATATATCTCGAATACTTTCACAATCAATGCTGGTGTTCCCCAGATATCCATATTGTCCCCTACCCTGTTCTAATTGTATATGAACGCCTTATTTCTGAAGACAGCACACTTCCACATGTCATTCCATTTGGATTCCAGGACATCGGCTGCGGATGCACATCTTCACCGGCAGCAGGAGGTTGCAAACTTTAATGAGGATCTATAAGTGGTTTCTAATTGAGGTGAAAGTGACCAGGTTCAATTCATTGCCACAAAAACCCAGACATCGGTTTTTTCCAAAAAGATGAATATCTTAGAACCGGATATAACAATATCAGGATAGGCAATTCAGCTTTCTGCCTTGATAAGTTTGCTAGGGGTTGAAATAGACACCAATATGTCTTGGCACAATCATGTCG